ACATCATCCCGATATATATATATATATATATATATATATATATATATATATATATATATATATATATATATATATATATATATATATATATATATCAGTCTGGAACACATCGCTCGAGATGTGCTGATGAAATTATTCGATGCCCTTTTGGTGGTGCAACCATGTGGAAGATATACCGCCAAACTGTAGTCTAATCGTCTCATCCCGCAATATACTTGAGAACGTCCCAATAACTCAGCTGGTTTGAGCGCTTGCCTTCCGACTCACAGACCTTTGGCGTGGTGGGTTTGAGTCGCTTCAGGCGTTTGCTATTTGTTTTCCACTGGGATAGCTCGCGGCCGGCGGCAGCGGTGTCGCGAATGGTCATGTGACGTCAGAGGCAGGATGGACCGTGGCGAGCATTGCAACACGTTGAGCTTTCGCTGCAAAGTTTTGCCGCCGACTCAGAATTGTATGATGGGGTCAGGGCCCGCAAAGCAGGCGCTGCTCGGCATGGGCGCTCGTTTCAGAAATGCATTCAAGCAAAAGGTTTGGACTAAACCTTTAAAAAGTTTCATGACCTCACTAATCTTACACCATTGCAATTTCATACACCACGTGACTTCTGAGAAAGTGGTCCTTATGTCGCAAATGGGGAGAACGATGCATAAATCGTCTGATCCATAGTTGTGATAACACGCTGAAGTGATAAAGCATGGTAAAGGCATGCTAAAATTTCTTTGTTTTCCGTGAGAACGGATACATGGAACATTAAGTGTATCCATTCTGTGTCGCAGGTTTTCAAGTTAGCGTTGAATCTGGTTTGCGAAGAAGTTGCATAAAAGTGGAATAGACCAATTGTTTCTATGTGTCTCTTTGCGTTGACCATGATACCGTTTATACAGGGTGGCCCAGATGAAAGTTAACCAGCGTTTGCAGCAACAAGTGTGTTTCCCGCACAATGAAGACTGCGATGATGTTAAAACGACCATTAAATGACCAAACGTGATACAAAACAAAAGTAGTCATCATCAGGATCTCGCATTCGTCAAAACATGACTATACAAAAGATGCCTCGTGGGATGAGAACGACTATCTTGTCAACATCGCCTCAGAACGGTACATGGCTACCGCTCGTATACCCTTCTGGGCGGTATACGAGCGGTATACGAGCGGTAACGAATCTCGTATACTCGTACACCCTTCTGGGCGGCCCTGGGACGACTTGACAGCATCGATCGGAACAAGAGTGGTTCCAGCAGGGCGGGGAGATTCCTGCACCGTGACGAATGCACCTGCCACTGCTGACTGAAGCATGGGTTTATTTTTATCTGGGCCTCTCCGTATTTTTAAAAGCTGCCGCGTGTTGCAGTGAATTGCTCTCCATTTCATTCTGAGTGGTATTATGTGACAAACTCGTCAAATATCTGTACATTGGCCTGTCATATGAAGGAATTGATTTAACGGAAACTTTACGTACCAACAGGATAGTGCTTGTCACGCATAAGCATTATGCTAATAATGATGCGTCTGGGCGCCTACTGTACCAAAACTTACGATAATTGTTCTGCGTTTCTTTCACCTAGTATTGCCTTTTGGCTCACATGCATTGAAATGGCTAGGAACAGCATTGGGGGTGAAGTTCCCTTTTCAGTTGAGGCCCTCTAGGCACAGCTCCCCCCCCCCCCCCCCCCCCCCCACTTCCCCCAACATCGGGAAAAGTGGGTCAAAGATGGGAAGGTAGCTTTTTCTGTGTGTATTTTGGGGCATATTTTATTTTTTCCCTGTTCAGTCTCCAGCCAATTCAGCGAAACTACGCCCCTGTCTCAAAGCCGGCATTTGGGCGGGGGCGGGGGGCTCAGAACCACCCCTATGAAAATATGCAACATGACACCCCTGGCTCGGCAACCAGCGCTGCCTGTGTACAGTTTAATTTCTTCGTTGGGTTTGCAAAATCTTTGAGCAAACCGTGATGACTGAAGGCAGGATTGGCCGATTTATGCACTTCGCTTGAACTCTGTTCGTTGGAATCAACGCCGAAGAATTCATTCGGGTGAGCAGGTTTATAAAGAACGTGGGGGCGGGTGGGGGTTGTCTAAACATTGCGTTACGCATTTTGGACCATTTTTAACTCCGCTGGCCACACGATGGTTACCCTTCTCCCTCCCCTCCTCCTACTTACGTCGTGTCCAGCTACTACTTCTACGACGAATCAATAAGTTAACGTCCTTTTGGCTCCCAATTGAGCAAGAGATGCTGAACATAGACGGTTGTGTTGGTTGCCGCCAGACAAAGGCAACGGTATCGAGTTTCGAGGTTTTAGAAAATAAAAGATGGGCGTGACTTTTGTGGGAGCATGCTGTTCACTTGCTCCCGCTATTTTGTGGGTCATAACTTGCTGACCACTTTGCAGCCTGCCCCGCTGGCTGGACCCACATTTTCCACACTATCCGGCCAAGCATATTGCAAAGCTGCAAAGTAGGCAGGAGAATCTGGCCCACCGAAAATCTGGAGCAGCTGGAAAGACCCTTCCACAAACATAAAAGCACCCCACTCGAAAATTATTTTAACACAACTATGACTTACGATCAAACCTGAGCGTGATGTTTCGCTACCCCCCCCCCCCCCTCCCCTCCCCCGCCACCCTAGCGTTCCGGTCCATCGAAACCCCCTTCCAACTCCATGCGTAACGAAGATATGGACGGACTCAAAAGCCTTGAACGCGGCCTTTTTGACTTGTTAGTTTTTTGTCCGTCTTTTTTTAACAGAACGATAATTTATGTAAGCTGCCATATTCAAGGGGCAGTATGTGTCGGCGAGCACGACGCTTTATTTTTTGTTCTGGCGCACTTCAGTAAGCGGATTTTTCGCGTTTCCCGGTCCTGCAGAGGACTAGCGAAGAGGCGGCTGCAGGGCGTTTGGCACGTGAGTGAGGCCGGCAACAGGGCAGGTGGGGTTACTGGGAGATTTTACTTGTGAAGGAAGTAAAGATGTCGTAATGGTGTCGTTTCCAAAGGTGGAGTCTCACGTACTGGTATATTGTAGCCTGTAGACATTACCACATTTGTGAAAGGAATGGGTGGGAGTGTGAAAGGCGGCCGCATTCAACCTTTGCAGTGCTGGTTGAAACCCTTCCAGGCTATTAACGAGCCATATTTTAAACGCGTGGTTATTCCAAATATAGCCCACTGACCATTGGTAAAATGCGGCAATTTTGGTATGTATACATCATAAATGTTCAATGCTCAGTCTTGTGCCAGTGTGCACCAATTTTAATGCATATAGGGCCACCGTTCCAAGTAGTGTGATGCTACAAAGGTAATTCTGGGCAGGAAAATCTGGAAGCATTTGCTCACTGAAAAATGGTGTGAAAATTTAGTGTTGTTTGGTGTGCCCTGAGCGTCATTCATAAGCAATGTTCACCGCATCAGTATTGAATAGGAGTCCAGTGCAGTGGATGTTTTTTTTTGCAGACTGGTTAATAAGTTGCTAGACATGCTCTTCATGTGAATGTTGGTTCATATGTAGGCATGCAGTTCTAGTCCTGAGAGTTTCTTAGTTGTATGTCCGCAACAAACACACAAGTCCCTGTCATGGTTGACAGTCTGTCACAGTTGGCAGTGATGCCAGCAAATGGCACTGGAGGCTGATTTACAAACTCATAGGACCAGAAGCTCAGAACCAAAATCCTAGGATGCTGCTAGTACAGTGGTTAAGGTGTACATCTGTGTAACCAGGGGTACAAGGTTTGATTCCCTGTGGTGTCCATTCTTCCAGTCAGGGTGGGTGGCTGGTGAAGCTGTATGGCCCACATACCCCTGCAGCTGAGCATGTTGTCAGTGCCAGCTGAGCAGCTGAGCATGTTGTCAATGCCATCTGAGCAGCTGGATGTGTTGTCAGTGGCAGTGGCAATCTTAAAAGTACGTATTGAAGTCATGCAGATGGTGTGTTAAGAAAATGCACCATTTCCAGTTATCATATGGCCCATCTTTTACTCATTGGATGTATAGTTCACTGGGATGGCCTTGATAATACTTAGTTGCTAATACAGGTTCAGGTCTTCATCCTGTTCTTACCACCATGAAGTAATTCAGAACAGTATTTGAAGTCAAAGCATCCCAGGATATTTGCCACTGGTTGTAAATGAGCCACCTTTGGTACATAATATTGGTGTAACTCAGATGCCATACAACAAATGTGTTGGGTCCTAGCTAATTTGATGTGGCCATCATGCAGAATTGTGCTAGGAACTGTAATTATTACCCTAACTGTAACTGTAACTCATTGTCTGTCCCATGGGGGTAATCAGCTTCTCACCAGCTGTTAATCCCAGCAAGCTCTGAAAACTGAAGCTTTGCTGGTTTTGAAGCTTCAATTTGGTCACAATGCTATAACCTAAATCAATCCCATAACAGAAAGCATGACTTATGCACACATGCCTCCCAGAGGGACACTTAGAATAAAACCTAGCATCATTTTTACAGTGTAAGAGGAAGCTCATAGCCAAAGTTGAAACATGGGTTTACTGAACAGACCATAATAATATGCTACAACCTTGACCACATTTAACCCCAAAAGTGTATCGGTGTTTCCAACCCTTAAATTAAATATGATTGAGATGCAAAAGAGGGGGTTAGTGGATAGAAATATGTATATATATATTATATATATATATATATATATATATATGTATATATTTATATATATACTTCACATAAACAACATGTCCTCATAAGATATGGCACAAATGTCTCATCATGTGATTATCACATTGCTTATTTGCATGCTGTCCCAAGGAGCTAATGCTAAATTGTCTTCTAGCTGTTAAGTTTGATGGCTCTGTTTACTCCAATAACAGGTACAGGATCAAATATGGGTGAAGGATCAGGTCTAAGGGGTTGAGGTTTCATTGGGCTTGTCTCTATTTTGCCAAGACTGATAGGATGACTGACAAAAATAGAGTGTGACTTTATCAGGTATGCATTTAATATTCATCTTCTAATGACATCTGCTTCCAATAGGATTGAGAAAACTTGACGACTTCAAGCTCACATCAGCAAGCTAGATGGTCCTTGGCTGATCCAACCGCCACCAGTCGTGACGACGTGACTACGTGACCTCTGACCCCGACGGGTGTCTGAACCGGGCGTTGACTGAGTGGAAGGGGAGTCATGTCGCTGTGTCGCCTGGCGCGGCCGCTGCGCTGGCTTCGGCCTGCCGTCCGCGGCCTGTCCGGCGACGGCAGTGCCCCTGGCGGCGGTGACAGTAACGACCGCCCGCCGCCCCCGGCCGACGAGCGCGCCGGCCCGAGCCAGCCGCTGTCGTCGCTGCTCGAGCCCAGCGGGCCGGCCGATGACCGCTGGGCCACGTCGCTGTACCCGGAGGGCTCGCGCGGCCGCCAGAGTCAGGCGCGTCGCTCGCGGAGGCCGCCGGTCGATCCGCGCGCCACCTCCGTGCTGCTTTTCCCGGGCCAGGGCGCGCAGCGGGTCGGCATGGCCGACGCACTGCTGCCGTTCCCGCACGTGGCCGACATGTTCGAAGAGGCGAGCGCACTGCTCGGCTACGACCTGCTGGCGCTGTGCCGCGACGGGCCGGCGCGCGAGCTGGACCGCACGGACCGGGCGCAACCGGCGCTGCTCGTCACCTCCCTGGCCGCCGTCGAGCGCCTGCGCGAGGAGCGGCCGCGCGTCGTCGAGTCGTGCATGGCGGCGGCCGGCTTCAGCGTGGGTGAGCTGGCGGCGCTGGCGTTCGCCGGCGCGCTCTCGTTCCGTGACGCGGTGCGGCTGGCGCGCGTGCGCGGCGAGGCCATGCAGTTGGCAGCCGAGCTGGCGCCCTCGGGAATGATGACGGTGATAGGCCGGCCGGAGGCGCGCGTAGGGTTCGCGTGCGCGCTGGCGCGCCGCTGGTGCGAGGAGCACGGCGTGGAGGGCGCCGACTGTCGCGTCTCCGCCTTCCTCTTCCCGCAGTGCAAGGTGGTGGCCGGCAGCGCCGAGGCGTTGGAGTTCATCGAGCAGCGCGCGGCCGAGTTCGGGCTGCGCCGGTGCACGCGGCTGCGCGTGGCCGGCGCGTTCCACTCGGAGCTCATGCGGCCGGCGGTAGAGCCGCTGCGCGCCGCGCTCCGGCGCACGAAGATCACTGCGCCCCGCGTGCCCGTGTACAGTAACGTGGACGCGCGGCGCTACCGCTCCGCGGAACAGGTGCGCCGCCAGCTGGTGCTTCAGCTGACGCGGCCCGTCAAGTGGGAGCAGACGATGCACGTGCTGTACGAGCGGTCGCCGGACGTGCCGTTCCCCATGACGTTCGAGTGCGGCCCGGGCAGCTCGCTCAAGACGATCCTGGGCAAGGTGAACGCGAAGGCGGCGGACTCGTGCGAGAGTGTGCCGACGTAGTTGCGGTCGCCGTCGCAAGAGGCGCTGGCGGCGCGACGGCGGGTCGGAAGAGCGTGTGACGGCGCGTTGGTGCTGCAGATGTGGCCGCTATGTTAGAGCGGTGCGTGCTGGACGGAGTGAAGTGGTTTGATCGCCGTGGTTTTGATCGTGAAGTGGTCGCCAGTCCAGTTCACATGTCGTGCTGGTCTAACACCGATGTATGAAGAGATTCGCTCGTTCCCAAATGAAGATTGCACATAAATACGGCAACTAGCTTTTGGGTGTTTTCCTTGTTAGTTGGAAGGAACTGCGTTCTCAGCAGCATGCGTGTTGTCTTATCCCCAGCGTATGTATGTTGTTTGGTCATGACAGAGTGTCAGGGACGAGCTCGCTCCGGGCTGATGGTATCTGAGTGAAGCGCTGAGAGGTGGTGGGGGTAAGTGATGTCGCACGTGACGTTTGGGGCATGATGTACCGAAGCGTACACAAGTTGAATCTAAATGCAAATCCATGCTCCCCATGGATTTTTTCTCACTGAACTGCACACGCATGAACTACTTACTGATGATATTAGGGGCACGTATTGTGGCGGATGATTTTCAATCCAGAGGGGGGGGGGGGGGAGTCGTCGCATGGTGTAAGCACTGTGCGGCCTCTATTCGCCATTTACATCACGATACGGAAAACCTATTTTTGAGCCAGCGCTATGCGCTGTTTACGACTGCTGACTGCCACTGCCGCTGAGTGGCTGCTGACGGTGGCTGTTGACGTGCCGCCCGGTGGCTGCTGATGATGGCTGTTGATACGCTGCTCAGCGGCTGCTTATGTTGACTTGATGTTATTATCCAGCTGCTGCTGCTGACCTCTGCTGTTGATGCTGCTGCTGATGGTGACCGTTGATGTGATTATCCAGCTGCTGCTGCTGCTGACCCCAGCTGTTGCTGCTGCCGATGGTGACCATTGATGTGATTATCCTGCTTTTTCTGCTGACCCCTGCTGTCGATGCCGCTGCTGATGGTGACCGTTGATGTGATTATCCAGCTGCTGCTGCTGACCTCTGCTGCTGACGCTGCTGCTGCTCCGTTGCAGAGTTTCTCCGGATGCTGATCTGATGGGTGGATCGACAGACGCCAGAGCGGCGGCGCCGGCGCTCTGGCTGCGGACGTCCCCCGCCGTCCGGACAGTTACGCAGAGTCCCGCCGTCTGGACAGTTACCCAGAGAGTCCCGCCGTCCGGACAGTTACGCAGAGTCCCGCCGTGTGGCGATCTGAAGCCCATGGAGGCACTTGGAGTTCCGGTAGTCACACGGAGACAGTGTGGAGTCGTGAGAAAGCCCAGATTCGTGTGCAAGCTAATCACGTATGCTCGGGATGAAAAACCGCAGTGGCATTGAGACGGGAGGAACTCAATTATATGTCGTTATCTCGTGGCTCCTGCGTAGCGCTTGGCGTCTGCGGCGCCGCAAGAAACCAAAAGTGTTGTTCTTCGTCGCTAGATGGTGACGTCAGTGATCGTCGCATACTCAATCTCGTGTGTAATGTCGTGACGTGATCATAGTGTCTTAGTTGTAGCATTTGAGAGAAAATGTGAGGGCTTTCTAGGGCAGTTAGTACCAGGTGGTGACATAGTGGATGGAATAAAGTCAATTCTTTGTGAGTGTGAGGATCGTGAGACGTCCAAAGAATGAGACCTAGTCACTGCTAGAGCAATTGTTTCGTATCAATGCGTTCAATCTGAGTGTTCATATGTTACAAATGCTTGCAAGCCCTCTGTGCCGACCTGGACACATACCAAACACACCGAATTCTGGACTAAAGCCTCTCCCGCAAGCTGCAACGTGTCGGATGATTTTAAAAGCTGATCCATGGGTTGTTGGGGACGGTAGAAGTTACCCCAGTGGCCTCCAGCTGCAAATATCGAGTCATGCTGGGCGTAAAAAAACAACACTTTGTCCCTAGCGGAGTCGCTACGCAGGGACGAGGTAGCCAGGGAAGGGGGGGGCGTGTGCGTCCCCCGGCCCAACTCTCCAAAAAAACGTAAAGTTGGTTCTGAAGACCTAAACTGGAAGAAACGTTAGCAGTTATGGCTAGTCCCCAGTCTGGAACTGGAACACGTGCGTCAGCTACTGCTGCACCCACGTGTCTGTGGCTGCAGCTGACGGTCCGGCGCAACATGGGAGTCGTCGGTTTACCCCGAGCGAGCTGGACACGGCAGCATTGCCAGACTGATCCTCCACTGTCGCGCTGGACTGCCACGATGAGATGGTCCCGCTGGTTTGATTGTTTCGTGGGTTGCTGAACTAGACCGCAGTCCGTCACACGAATCACAATGTCGGTCACGCCTTCGATGTGATCTGTATTTGTGGTATGTCGCCTGGGATTGTACTGCAGACGCCTTTCCATTGTTTTCCAGAGGGCAAGCTGGAAATATTGATGGTGAGGCATATTTATCACCCGCCTCGCTTTTGCAGGCTGCTTATTTGGTTTCGTGTTGAAGGCTGACCCCATTGGAGATAGTAAGGGCTCACAACTGTCGTTATATCTCTCGATCTGAAGGGTAGGTTGCCCTGTTCTCCTGTGACGCGAGTGCGCCTGCGGGAGAGAGAGCTGATAACCAGGACTTTGCCGAAGTGGCGTCCGCCTGTCGCGCTCTCGTTCGCCGTTGTGAGCCCGCAACCACGGCTAATATATGACGTGGGCAGATGGCAGGTGTTTGAGCAGTGAGGCCTGATGAAGGCGCTTCGTTGCGAATGTGACCAGGCTTGTGTTCGACTCGAGCTGGATCATGAATCGGGTCATGAGTTCATGATTTTGTGGTGAGTCGACAGTTGAGTCGGATCACTAGGAAGCATGCTGCTTTGAGTCACGAGTTGCGTCACATTGTTTGTGAATTTCATGAGCTGAATCGTGAGCCGATCATTTCCAACAATGTTGAGTCAGTGAGTCATAAACCCCAACTAAAAGGTAACATGAGGAAACAGAGCACGTCCTATACAAATTAACAGGACATTTCATATTGTTCAAATGAACAGCATGCAGCGTAATATGTTTTTTTCAAAATCAACAATGTTTTTTACTGTAATTTATGAGCGCCAACAGTATTGTTTATCCTGAACTTAAGTATACTAAATTTCAGCTGGTAACCAGAGGATATTACACGGTACAGACATCCTACGTTACTATATCCTATGTTAAAATCAGTGTGAGATTTTCTACTTCCAATAAAATCTTAAGGCTGACCATCTTTTTCAGTGTCAATTGCCACAACAATGAACTAATCCATACCTGCTCCCCCTCACACCCTTCACTGCTATCTGAACTGCTGAAAGCACGCTGTTACTGAGGCCACATGAAGTGAACAGCAATAGCGGCAATTTGTATAGCTTCAACTTACGTTAATCGGCGAGAGAAAAGAGCGGGGCTCCCTAACTAATCCCGCAAAAAACAGCTCACTCTAAATTAGGCCGGTGGCCACTTTCAAGAGGGGAAGCATGGGAAAACCACACATATGCAATTTTACGTTGTTAGACTGGGCGATACGGAAGCACGGTCAGCGAGGACCCGTTACGTAAGATCACAATGTATTGCATTTAAGTGGGGAAAACCGTGCGGTGTCGAGACGATCTCGGTCACGGTGCAGACCGAGCCGTGACATTGTCCCAGCATTACGCGTGCGGACCACGAGGCTAGGGAGAGTCCAGTAGTGAATCAGTTCCGGTCACTTTTCCGCACCCAAAGGCGATTCAATCACGATGTCCAGAGCAAGATCGGTTAGGGCAGGATTATTGCCGCCTCGCAAAGTTTGCAGGGTGTGGGGAGACGGTGTGTCAACAGGTACCTCGAGGCATAGCGACGCTTCTGAACAGGAGCAGCACACCCAGCCAAACGGTCGTCTCGTCTCATATGCGGATCGTAAGTCGCGGAATGTGACCTACTGGGGATTACATCTAAGCTTGAAACGGGCATTTGACCTTCGGGAAACAGACATTCGTCGCGCATTCCGTCAAAAAGGCTAAGTTACAGCTGTCTTTCTAGATATTACTCGCGCGTACGGTATGGTATTTAACGGGCACTTGTTTTCAAACTTTATAGGTAAAGATTTAAGGGAAATTTAACACATTACCTTGTTGGATTCTTCTCAGGGACACGACTGTTTCGTGTGAGGTGTCGACCGGCTGTTTCCAGTGTTTACTTCCTAGAAGACGGACTCCCGCAACAGAGCTGTATTTCTCCTATGTTTTTCAACTTAATGATTGATGATTCACTTCATGCACTCCCTCCTGGCACTTTCTCTTCACTTTTTGCTGATGACAGCGCAATCTGGTGTTCAGACGCAGAATACGAGTACTCACTACCACGCCTCCGAGACGCATCATACAAAGTAGAACAATGGTCAAGACGTTGTGGTCTCCAGTTTTCTTCTAGAAGTCGGCCGTTATGATTTTCAGCAAAAGGCGATGGGACACACCGGCGTATTCTCTTAATCTCGACGGCCACCGTACTCCCTATGCTTTCTCGTTCTCATTTACAGGTATCATTCTTGACCAGATTATCAATGTACAAACACGTTGAACATGTCCGCACCAAATGCATGAAACGATTAAACTTGTTCAGATGCATTTCAGGATTAAGATACGGCGCTGACCGGCGTACGATATTGCTGTTATATAAATCCTTGGTTCTCCAAATCATTGAATATGGCTCTGTAGTGTGTGCAGGCGGCAGTTAAAAAGGCCTAAAAATGTGAAAAGTAATTCAAAATATGTTTTTGTGGTTCGCACAGGGAGCACTGAGGACATCTTCAACTTCTGCACTCGAAGTATATGCGCTGTGCCTCTAGTCCTCCGACGTATTGAATATACCTTAAGATACATCACAAAATTCAACAAAATTGCAGCCATCCAACAGTTGCCTCTTCGCATATATAGCCCCGAATTCATCACACATACATAGGACCGGTAGAGCGTCGCTCGGCCATCATGATTGCGTCTTTTGTGACCGTCTTCTGCCACAGCATAAATTGCGTAATACCACAGGTCTCCGCGCCTCCAGACTTATTAGAGCCCTCTGACAGCTGATGCCACGAAATGTTTTGTTCCTTTTTTAAAATGTTAAAAGCTACGTGACGACAGCTCATGCGCACCGGAACTTCAACCGCACGGTTGCAAAATGTCCAAATTGTCACGTTATTCACATCGACGGTTCCACGACCGAAAACCGCACCGGATGAGCGATACTATGTCACACGCATTTTGCACAAAAATGTAGACTTGAACACAAAGAACGTCAAAATCATACGACGACGACCATAGTGATTTGCTTTGATTCAAAAGCAGCTCTGCCGTCACTTATTGACCCCGACCTAACTCACCACCTCCTGGACAGTTTTATAAATATGTACCATTTTTTACACACACAGGACGCACACATAAATTTGTTTGTGGATGCCAGGCCGTAGGGGCATTGCAGGGAACGAGCGGGCCGACCAATTGGCCAATGAAGCCTTGACGGACTCTCACATTACACCCATCCCTGTTAATCATGCCACCATA